TTCCATGGTTAAGTCTACTTCTAAAATACTATGACTTGAGTAACTGAGAACCCTAAGAAAAATGTACGAGGTGTATAAATTGAGTAATGAGACTGGCAATTTTGCGCCCGATCTAGCAACTCTGCGGAGACGGGACTTGGAAAGGCGGTAGGTTAACATGTAATGCACCTTCAGTACAAGTTTGAACTTATTAGAGTCATTTGTTTGTTCTTTGTGACCAGTGGCCGCTCGTGATGAAATGAAGCGGGTGTTCTGCAAATGTTTACTCACCTATTTTTTGAAAGTTAATTCAATCCTACTACCCTTCATAGAAGCAAACTTGTCTATAATCTTGTCGTTGAAACCATGTATTGCTTTCAATTTACGCGAAACACGATCTACGTCGAGTCGCCCGCCAAGTCTATGAGAAATATGTAAACATGCAGGGATTAGCTGGAAAAAATGCAGCTCACTCACCGTCTAAATTTGCGGATTTATGCTAGCAAGTGTGGAGCGTCGCGGGAAGTGAGGGCGAGCGTACAATAATATAAATGTACTGCGACGCGCTCGACTAGAGACTAGAGAATTTATTTGGTCTCCTACTTAGCACAGGTGACCGGCCGGCACAGCGACAAAAAGCAATTTTATGGAAGCACGACAGCATGGGGTGCGCCTTGCGTTGTGGATACACCAAATTATTATATTAATAAATTTTAGTAATTAGGTCGCAAAGATAAATATTTATTTTTTTGGCAGTTCTGCAGCTCTGCAGCAACTATACACCAGCCGCCCTGTGTGACCGTTTTCGTAAACCGTTTTTTTCTAGTGCATTTTAAAAATGAATGACATTATTTTTGAGCAACGGTGTGCTATCAGGTTTTGTTTCAGACTTGGACACAGGGCAACGGATACTTTTGCAAAACTTCAACACGCCTACGGGAGACAGTGTTTTTTCAAGAGCCCAGATTTTTCGGTTTAAGGCATTCTCAGAAGGAAGAGAGTCGATTCAAGATGAAACTTGAATATTATGGCTTTTTGATAGCCAGGGAATTGTCCACAAATAGTTTGTGTATCCAGGCCAAATAGTAAATCAACACTTTCACAGACAGGTTCTTGAAAAACTTCGAAAAAGGGTCATGCGTGTGAGACCAAACATCAAGAACAACTGGATGTTGCATCATGACAAAGCGCACAGCCATTGTCACACAGCCATTTCTATAAACGAGTTTTTAGCCAGTAAAAACATTCCTGTGGCTCCTCTGCCTCCTTATTCGCCTGACTTGAGTCCTTGTGACTTCATTCCTGTCCTGAGATTGAAAAATCACCTCAAAGCACGTCATTTTGGGACCATAGAAAACATTCAAATGGCTGTAACAGACCAGCTGAAGACTGTTCCAGTATATGCGTTCCAACATTGCTATGAGAAATGGAAGAACCGTCTCCAGCGCTGTATGGATTCTTAAGGAAGTTATTTTGAAGGAGAAAATACTGAATTGTAATTCTATTTGATTAAATAAATTAAAAAAAAAACAGTCTCATTACTTGATTTACACACCTCGTGTATGAAAAACTGATTATTATTGATGATTATTTTAGCAGCATCTACACGATCTTGAATTACAACTTGAATAAGATATCCTGGAACGTGCTGTACAGTCAGGATATGTATAAACCGGAGAAACTTTTACGAGAAGAGATTGAAGATACCTTTCTTGAGTAACAAATTATAAAATTTAAGGGAAAAAATGGTAATCCAGGACCTAGGAAAGAAAACAATGAAGCAGCCGAGATAACGTAAGAGACAAGGTTGCTGGCTCCAGTCTATAAAAGTAAAATGATCGAAAATGTCTCGACGTGAACAGGGACTTTTTGTCTTTGTTTGATCGATCTGGCTTTCATAAATATTCACCTCTATTTTTATGCCTGTAGATATAAGTTGCCTACGCCTAATGAAAGGACCGAAAGCACGCAATTGACAGATTATGGAAATAAAATAGGATAACGCATAACAAAAAAAGTTATTATTCACGATAATGTCCAGTGGCTAGAACTTTATGAATGGCCTTTTATTCTTTAGTTTATTATAGTTTACAGCTTTAAATTCGACGCTGTGGATAGGTTGAAGGTTGTGTGGTTGGGTAAATGTAAATAGTAAGATTATGCATATACCGGGTAACACAGGGCACATGTAACAGCTCTAATTAGTTTAATTTCTTTATTTATTAACATGAAATTTTGAAATATATAGAAGTTGTGTAAGTGCTGATAAGGTTTTTTCTCAACCTAACAGACATTATTTATAACTTCCATATATATAGATCCAACTTTCTTATTTAAAATACAACCGGGTATGTATTTGTTCACCTAATGTGTCTTATTTGCATTAAAATTATTTATTTTGCCATGTATGACATAGTGGCATTTTGTTTTGTACTGACAGGATTAAAAATGTATCGGCGCCCATGGCGCCATGTACAAAATATCTTGGCGCTTAGTGGCTATGATACAAAAAAAACTAGTAAATCGCTATGGGCATCGGTCATTTGATATCCGATTCATTAGTCCGATCAATGGAATTTCAGTGCAGTATGGTGAAAAAGCGGTTCCTGACATTTTTCAACTTACCCTTGTACCACAATTCGAACGAAATTGCCTACCATTAAAATAAAATTTTCTGGAGACTTTTCTCCACGAAAAATGGAAAAATGTTGTTATTGTTCAAAACAATGTAAGTAGGTAACGAATAACTCAATTATAAAAAGGTCAGCAAGAAGTAAACAAATTTTTGGTGCAAACTTTATTTTATGTTCAATTACAAACAATTAGAAAGCACGTTTAGAATAACATTTTTAATAAATGTTCATCAAAACTATAACTGTTATAAACTGGCAATAATTTTAATTTTAAAAAGCAATACGACAGCATGATATCAATGAAGAGCAAAACTCTTAATATTGCGAAACATCTCATCAAACTTACAAATACACATTGTACTTTTGAGAAACATAATGTTGTATGTTTTTCAAATCTTATTACAAAAGTATCGCCTCAAAAAGTGTCCATTTACGAGGTTTAGGTACTATAATTATTTACTTTTTGTATTATTCTTGAATATAAAATAAAGTTTGCACCAAAAATTCGTTTATTTTTACCGATATTTTTATAATCAATTCGTTACCCATTTACATTGTTTTGAACAATAACAATAACAATGTTTTTCTTGGAGGAGTCTCCAGAAAATATGATTTTAATGGTGAGTGATTTCGTTCGAATTGTGATACCAGGGAGAAAGTTGAAAAAATATCAGCAACCGCTTTTCATATTGGAGCTAATATTTTACAAAGGAATAACTTTTTACTACGTTTGATGGGAACTATTTTAGGATAAAGACAGGCCCAAACAACTGACGCAAATACAAAAATGTAAACACAAACAAACATGGAAGAAAATTCATATTATACACCACTGACATCCTGATAGCGCTAAAGACACTCGAGAAAATTTTGTTTAGTACTTTTTACAAATATTACATGCATCGGGGTTTCGAAATTATCAGTTTTATACTTCTTTTAGTATGTAAACAGTTTTTCCCCTATTAGAACATATTCACTAGCGCATTCGCCATATTTGAGAATGTATTTTTTTGTTAATTTTAATTGGAATTGTTCAATAGCATTTTTCTTGAGCGTCTTGTATGCACTCAGAATGTCAACAGTCCATAGATTGAAGATTAATATTTGTTATTTTTTTTAATTTCCTTTCATTTCTAGTACCTATATTTTTTTACATTTAAAATCGATTTTCTTAAAAATGTTCTTATATAACCTACAGTAATATTTACATATGTTACTGTACGTTAAAAAAAGGTGCTCTTACTTGTCCCATCATAAAAAATAAAGAATTTCATTAAAAAATAGCGATGACGTCATAACTTTTTCACAAGTGCCAAAAAAATTGCAAGACTTTTATCAAAAAACGGCAATTCATATACCAGGTGGCTCAGGAGGTCGGGCCACGTTTATATCTTGAAAACCAATTCACGGATTTTATTTGAAATTTGGGGAGTTTATAGTAGAATTAATTTTCAACCAAGTGACGAAAAATCCGAGATGGAACTTCCGGTTTCGCCGAAAATGGCACTAATTCCAATTTTTTTTAATGGAATCCCCTGTATATTTTGGCATATTTGGATTCTACTTGTCCGATCAAATATAAAACTCAAGTATCAAATGTCGTTTTGGTAGTGGAAAACGTTTTTTTTTTCATTTTTTTTTGTATTCGTCGTAGAAAACTGCGATACTGCTCTAGTACTCAAAAAGTATCTGATATTATCAATAAAATATGTCTTCTCAAAAACATACTCTATTTTCATTTTATTGAGGATGAAATTAATTCATATCAGCTTTTTACCTTTATTTTTTTTGAGGAAAATTCGTTCAGTTCAAATGGACATCTAGTGGACCATTCCTGTTTTAAATAGTTCGTTTAAAAGGATTTAAACGCAGTATTTACTGTCGTTATTACCTTTGAAGTAAATGTAGAAAATTTAAAGATAATTAAAAATACATACTTATACGTAAATAAAAAAAAAAAAATCACCACCACAACGAGATTCTACACTTAGGTTGCGTGTACTCTAACGCGTAGAATCCAAATATGTAAAAATAGCCAGGTGTCCCATTGAAGAAAATTGGATTTAGTGCAAATTTCTGAGAAATCGGAAGTCGGCCATCTTGGATTTTTTCGTCACTTGGTCGGAAATTAATTCTAGTATAAACGCTTCTAAATTAAAAACAAATATAATACGTTAATTTGTTTTTATTAAGATATAAGCTTGGCACGACCTCGTGAGCCATTCGGTATATCATTTGGGGTGCCCGAACGATTTTTCCAAAAAAGTCCGTGTCGATTTGATCCATGTTTTCCTTAGTTTACGAAAGCACTGTGGATACAACTCTGTTAGGACCTAACCTTCTCTGGTTAGAACCTACTAACCTTTGGTTGCAACACAACTATAGGCCGCGACGATAGCTCAGTGGGTAAAGAACGAAAAGATGGCGATTAGTCCGAGTGTTATTATCTGCACGGGTTCGAATCCCGCCTGTCGCAATTGTACCTATCATAGGGCTTAGTTGTATGTTCTACGTCTTTTTCATGTGTACTCTCCCTCTGACACAATCGCAATCGTTCCTAAAGGGAGAATGTCAATTTACGTGGTTGATTAGGTTAAATTTTACCTAGTACAGTCACATTCGTAAAACAATAAAACTAGAAGTGAAACCAACTCTTAAGAGCATTATCTTTAGTCAGTGGCGGTGCGTGATATTTCAGTTAGCCATATCTTGAAAACGACGTATGGGACCCACTTCACTTTTTAGGTGATGACTATACACCTCTTACAGAAAGGATTTATAGTGAAAAAATCGTCAGCAAAGTTTGCGAAAAAATTTTCAAAAACACTGAAACAAACATTTCGGAATACAAAATGTTCCTATAAAATTAAAAATTAAAATGGCCATAAATTTTTGAAAAAAAAAATATTTTGCAACAAATCGAAAAACGTCTCCTTATATTTGTTTCTAGATTATGAAAAAATATACTGCCAATATCCCACAGAGCGTTACTGAGAACCCAGGGGAGTGCTCCAGTGTTTTTGAAAATTTTTTCGCAAACTTTGCTGACGGTTTTTTCACTATAAATCCTTTCTGTAAGAGGTGTATAGTCATCACCTAAAAAAGTGAAGTGGGTCCCATGCGTCGTTTTCAAGATATGGCTAACTGAAATACACGCACCGCCACTGTCTTTAGTACGTAGTACATCCAACGAGGTTACATAAGTTAAACAAAAGCTTTCAAAAATGGAGCATCCCGCATACTTACGTTGAGCCCCTTCTCCACTAAAGCTTTCGAGATGGCCGCGCCAATTCCAGCGCTTGCGCCCGTTACTATGGCAACTTTTTCCCACCCAGCGGTCCATGTCTTACGAATCTGGAAAGAAAATTTGTCCATATCACCACTTCTACAATAGATAAGATTATATATTCTAAGAATATTCTGTAAACACCTAAAAGTGTATATGCAACGAATGCTCTCCTTATGGAGAGCTTCAATAAGCGAACATCTCTTCTAAGCGGGCAATATAATTATACTGTGTTTGTGCGTTTAAATGTACATTGCATATAATTGCATTTCATTTATAATTGCATCGTATTCAAATAAAATTCAAACGCATTAAACTTGCGAACTTATATTTTTTCTTTACACAAAATTATTACTTTTGAAACATTAGGAATCGAAAAAGAGTCGTTTGTATCTATCGTTTAACTTCTTCTCAGGGAATCAATTACCCTTATAAAGAGCAGTTTTATCAGTTGTTTATAAGTAATCTTGATGACAACGACCTGGATAAAATTGTCTTCTCTCACGAAGCATGGTTTCATCTTAAATAAATCTTATGTGAATCTGGAGAACATGCGAATGTGGCGTTCCGAGAAATCAAACATTTCTTTGTGTTAAAAACCCCTCTTCATACCCAGAAAGTTGGTGTTTGGTATGTTATCGGTCGAACCAGAATAATCCACATCCATGTAGTGGAATGGAAAAGCAGTTTATTATTAAAAATATAATCTGTTTTTGACGGTTTAGTCTAATTAATTGTGGACAAATTTGTGGAAGTAGTGGCAGCGGTTTTTTAAGTTTTTGAAATTCATTTCGTTTTCCAATTTGCCCATTTAAAGGCAAAAGGCAATAAAAAGATCAGGATTGTTGGGATTTGAACCCAGGCCATCAAATGTAAGAGCAAAAACTTAACTATCATACAAAATTGACTATAGTTCAACCTGTTAAAAAAGTGTTTTAATATTAGCCATTTTTTGGAAAAAAATATACACATATATGAATATTAGAATAGAGAAAGACGTAATAGCCCACCAACTACGTCAGAGTGGAAACATTTAACCTTGTTATAAAAAGGCATGTATTTTAAGTTTACTTCGTCAGTCAAACTTTTTTGTTGGAAATAATGATCCTATAATTTTCTAGTCGATATTTCTAACCAACAATTATGTTGCCCCTCTAGTCCTTTGTAAAATACCAATACCACTTTATCGTCTCATAAACACCATTTTTCATGAAACGATAAATTGTATTATTAAGAACTGTATCCGGATAATTTAAATAATCGATAAAGTTCTGCCGATATTATTTATGTATACGTGGAATACAGAGGTAGGTATATTTTGACCTCTTTGTTTAAACCATGTATAGGGTTTTTAAATAGTATGTACATTACATATTAAATATTTTTCAAAACCTATACTTAAATACCTTTTGATACACGGACTGTGTACCTACCTTCTACTGAAATCTCAGTTATTTTCAATAAAATTATTTTGGTCATTAAGTGAAATTTACTAAAATCAAGTGTGTAATCTCACAAATGTGAGATATCAGGTAAAAGAGGCATAGAATTATAGAATCAAGGTTTGGGACCTTTTTTGCCTTCATTATAATCTATATTTGCCTTCATTATAATTTTTTGCCTTTATTATAATAATAGATTTTTAAAGTACTTTACTTTTAAAGTAATTTACTTTACCTATGTAACTTAGTTATTAATGAACCGATTAGAAAAAGCATTAATAGTAATTTTCTAGCAGACATTTTTAGGTCATAATAAAAAATACAACTATATACTTGGTTATACTTTTTCAAACGAAACACCCTATATATCACCGGAAAATTAAAATCCTCATGTTTTTCTGATTTCAGCAACATACAGTTTCATTATTTTATTTTAAACTGTATTTTTTTAAACGATTATCTACAATTGTCACCAATGTCATCATTCACTTGGTTAGGGATAAGTAGATTATTTTATAAGCTAATAAAAAAATCTAAATGTCATCCATATTGAAAAATTATTTAGTAACTTCGCACAGTGGGACAGGGCGAAATATATAAGGAATAGATAAAGAAAAAGAAAATGAACATTTTTATATAGTTTTTTCAATTTTATTGAAATGAAGAATGTGAACTAATGTTCAAACATCATTATTACCACTTCAGTTTAATCCCTTACTTTGTTTTCATCTTTGATGTATCAATAAACATAGATTATTGCGCGAGAAACCACTATTTTTATTTTGTGAAAAATAAATGGCTTAAATTTGCTGTAATTAATAATACCTTATTAACATTCCAGTAACCTTTCTTCATTCTTGTTACTTATTTATTAACATTCCAGTAACATTCGGTTCATAAAATCTGCCCATTTCTGAATTATTATTGCTAAAGATTTGAAAAAAAGTTAAAAAAATCCATAAAATGTAAATAAAAAATCGGTGAATCAAGCCTGATCAAGCTGTAGTTTTTGAATAAAATCATATTAATTCTAGACATGTATGTTTTGAAAAAGTTGTACATGTTTGCAGCTTTGGGTTATGACGGCATGTTTTTTAAACTGTGGTCTCTACTTTTCGAGTATGGAAAACATTATTATTCTATCTACAAATTAAATTTGTCAATTAATCAAGAAAACAATTTAAAATCATAATTAATATATTATATAAAAAAAATGTGGACAAAAATATTTTGGTGTAAAATAATAACATCATTTTCAGTATAACAAAAATGGTCACTTTTTACATAAAATTGTACATTACTTGTATCAATGTTGAAACTTAGATATTTTAAAACTACTTTTTTCTCGAATTTCTCACTCAAAAACGTAATATAACACGGTATTAGATTTTTTGCCAATTTTTAGGGCACTAAAACACCTTTGCACTATGCATTTGCACAATGCACTATGCATCGGCATATTTTGCATATTTTGCACTATGCATCGTGCAAAATATTTGGATTAAATACAAGTATATTTTTAGCAGTATTTCTACTCTATCCGTTTTTACGTGAAGTCCCGTTTCCAAACTTGCAGAATGTTCCACTGCGAAACATTTTTTGGAAATTTCTACATGTGAAACAACAGATTGTCAGGGCCAAAATAATGTGCTTAATGCACATTATTTGGCATGGCTAAACTTATCTGAGTTCAATTGTTGATGATAACCATGATACAGGGTGTCAAAGTTTTAATTTAATTTTCAATTTTACTCTACAGGTTGAGGTTTTTAGTGCGTATTTGGTATATAGAATTGTCGTCGAACAAAATATGCTAAAACGGAATATATAAGGTTGTTTGCACCATTTTTTGCCACATTTTTAAACAATTGCCGAATCTACAGGGTTTTCATATCCTTCTGGGCATCGACTAACTTAAAATGGAACACCCTATATATTTTTACAAATTCGAAAAGGACACACAATTTTAAGTTGGACACGTGTAACATAACCTACATTTAAACCCAGTCGTTGCGGAGATATTTGATGTTTTTTTTTTATTGACAGATATTGGGGTCTAGAAAAATCGTCATAACTTACGTCATAGATTACTATACCTATGTATAATTACAACTTACCAAAAATGAATGCAGTAGTTTCAGGCGTTAACATTTAATTTGTTTTATTACCTATTTTTTGATACTACAAAACAGAGAAGAGGAGATATATCAGATATCAGTGACAGAATTAAAATTTTTAATAAGTTAATAAAAACATGCCAAATAGATAGAAAATGTTTCATTCAAAATCCCTTTCTCTAACTGCATGTTTGTCTCTCTGCCAGTCAGTCTTTTTATGCACATAATAACTCTTGATCGGCTTAAAAATATATACCCAATTAAATTTTTGACAAACATCTAAAATCACATTTTCAATATAAATATTTTTACGCTTTATGAATTCGATACATTATACTTTAAAGTTAAATAAAATATTCACGAGGCGTATTGTTTTATAAGTTTTTGGATTAAACTCAGTTTTTTTAGAAAATTGGGATAATCAAATGTAGAAGTAATTACTTCAGACAGTATTTATTTATTCATCTCAGAGGGTTCATCTTTCTTTTTCTTTTCTGAACTATTTCTTAAACGTTATATTTTCTATACGCCAAAGTACATCGAATAACCGTCTAGTAATTGAGAGGTACATACAACCGACAAGCCGACAGACCGATAAATACTCTAGTCAAAAAGGTACTCTTTTTAAGAT